ATGTTTTTGATTGCGAACAGATTCAATAATTTTATTATCATATTTTAATTGAGTGTGAAGAGGTTTTTTGTCGTTTAAAAGGGTATTGGCAACAAAAAATGTTATTGATTTTATTGCTTCATCTGAAGGAGCATGAAAAAATAAGCCGATTGGCCGTTTACTGCTCTATTCTATCTCATCTGGTTCCGAAGTTATACGCAAAAATGTGCAAAATATAAATTGCTGATTCAGCACATTCTGTGACGTCATAAGCTGGATAAGTATGTTTATTGAATAGTAAACTAAAGCATAGCTAAGTTATTATTGGCTCAAATCAAATGAAATTTTGCATACAAATAGTACATGATGAGATGCATGGGAAAAATACTTCTAATTTCGTTGTCAAGGCAACACAGTCGTTCCCAGGCCTTTTACACTGATTTTGAATAACAAGTTGCATTGATCTATGTGTATGTCATTTTCGAATTATTATCATGCAAGTAAACTTTTGGCATGCATAGGTATCATACACATACTTCTGATATTATTTTATTCTTATCAGTACCTTGAATAAAGCTGTTTCATAAAATTGGCGCAAGGGGCCTGGACACGACATTGTTACCTTGGCAACAAAATTAGAAGTGTTTTTCCATGCGTCTCATCATGTACAATCAGTATGCAAAATTTCATTTGATTTGGGCCCATAATAACTGAGCTATGCTTCAGTGTAATATTCAATAAACATACTTACCCAGCTAATGACGTCACACGTTGTGCTGAATCAGCAATTTATATTTTCACATTTTTGCGTATAACTTCGGAACTAGATGAGATAGAATAGAGCATTAAACGGCCAATCGGCTTATTTTTTCATGCTCTTTCAGATGAAACAATAAGATAGATGAAGCAATTTTTGTTGCCAATACCCTTTAACAGAGAAAATCATGGATTTAGTTTTGTCAGGATTAATTTTAACAAGCCATTTCTTAGTCCACATTTTAATAAGCTCAATGTCATCATTTAGGGGCCGACCATTTAACTTTTGAGGGGGGGGGGTGATTTTGAAAAAAAATTCCTGCAAGGCTATTCTGGACAAAAAAAAAATACCTGCACTAACAAACTGGGGGGAAAAATATCCTGCCCCAGTATTTGGTGGAAAAAAATGTTGCAAAACAGCATGGTTGCAGGGATCGATTTGACCAGTCCCAGAAGATGAGCTGGTTTGATTTTCTGGGACTGGTGTAAGGTTAATTTCTTGTTGCAAAACTCCTCAAAATGCTGGAAATAGCTTATCTGAGCTTCAAAAAATCCAAAATTTTCTGGGGGGCATGCCCCCAGACCCCTCTAGAGGCTAGCACCTTCGGTGGTCGACTCAGTTGTTGCTGCCCTATGACGTATACTTGTTAGTTAAACCATGCATATATATGCTGTAAGAAGCTGCAGTGATACAGACAGGGCTGTAGCAAGGGGGGTATTGGGGGTGGTTAACCCCCCCTCCCCCAACTTTTTTAGAATCAACATATTCAGAAAATCGGGTTGGCCATTCGGAAAATTACGGCAATTATTTAATAGTAGAACAAAATTTTAGTTGTTAAACAGAGAAAGTATTATAAAATTGTATTGTCGCTATAAATTGTAAGCAAATTGTAAATTTCGTCATACTAAAACGCTTTTTTCTGACCATCAGCATTCTGTCAAAACTTCCCCAAAGTCCAGGAAATGGCATTTCAGAGACTCGAAATTTAAAAATTTCCTCGGGCCTCCGGCCCTCGTTTTCTGCCCCCAATAAACAAAAGCTCCCTACCGCACTGCTTCTGTAATATGTCTGTGCGAAAATTATGCATATTTTTGTTAATTGTAAATTGCGTCTTCATTTTCCGAATAGCAAACACCTTCATGGCTAATAGTATGCCATGATATATTCGGAAATTATTTTCGTCATTCGGAAATTTTTGGCCTACACCCCCCCCCCCCAACTATACATGCTAGCTACGGCCCTGGATACAGACTTGCCGACTGGAACTTCTCCAGGTCCCCCGCTAATTATGTCCTCTCCAGTTGCACATCCTTAAAAAAGGCACTGAACCAAATGTTATACCTCATAGCAAAATGTATAATTAAGAGCAATGCATGAAACTAAAAAACTCAACGTTAACGATAATCTAAATAGTATAAGCTATTGAAAAAAAAATGCTGCGAAAGAAAGTGTGGCAAAAAAAATTGTACATGGTGATGGTGATAAAAAAAATATCTTGCACATAACGATCCCAGAAAAAAAAATCCCTGCCAGCAGTAAATCACCCACCCTCAAAAGTTAAATGGTCGGCTCCTTAATAGCAGTTTGAATAGAGTCATCAACAATATCTAACAAAGACGTATCGTCAGCATAAAGAAAAGAACTACTTCGACGATCAGTAGTGATATCATTTATATAAATAAGAAAAAGCAAAAGACCTAGAACAGAACCCTGAGGTACTCCCGCATTAACTTCCCTTCAGTCAGATGCCTGCCCCTCAATAATCACCCTTTGTTTTCTTCCAGTTAAATATGGTTTAAGCCATTTTAACAGCGGGTCCCTAACTCCCAATTGTCCAAGTTTATGCAGGAGTCCTCTATGCCAAACTTTATCAAAAGCCTTACTTATATCAAGAAAGACCATGCGTACCTCTGCCAAATTGTTTCAAGGCCTCATAAATTTTATGAGTTCTAAAAATAAGTTGATTTACAGTTGAATCACCGGGACGAAAACCTGACTGAAAAGGATTCAAAATTTTTATATCTAACAAAAAATTATATAGGCTAAAGAAAACAATCTTTTCACATATCTTAGACATACTTGTCAATAAAGATACTGGACGATAATTTATTTTATGCTGACGATCACCTTTCTTATATAATGGTAAAACGTTCGCAAATTTCCACAATGACGGGAAAACTCCTTGAAAAAAAGACCTATTTATAATTTTGCATAATGGCGATGTTATACAATCGGCACAATTTTTTAGTATCATATTACTTATACCATCATAGCCACACGCTTTGGAAACAACATCAATATTTTTGAGTAATATATTAATTTCTTGATCTGTCGTGGAAACATGGTCAATATATTTAGAATTTTGACAAAATGGTAAATTTTTGAATGGTAAAGTAATGTCATTTTGTTCGATTTCATGAACCGAACAAAAATAATTATTAAATAACTTAGCCTTTTCTTTCGAATCAATTATCATTCGATCATCATCTACTAATACTGGTATATTTGAAGGTATAGGTTTATTTCCGTAAAGTGTCTTAATTAACCCCCACCATTTCTTGATCCCAGTATAGGGATTTTGCAATTTTCATTAAGATTTGCGTAATAACTCCTTTTAGCAGCTCGTATGCACGATGTAGTAAAATTTCTTTGAATTCTGTATTTTTCCCATGCATGCTTCTGGACTCTTGTACTTACAATAGTATTTTAAAAAACGATTTCTCTTGCGAATTTCTCTTCTTATAACTGAGGTCATCCACGGTTTATCGTTAGGACGAATTGCAACTATACGATTTGGAATACTAGTATAAAGTATTTCACGAAATTTATTATACCATTTAGAATATAATTCATTTATGTCGGAAGTACCTGCTAACATATCTTCAACCTTTATATTAAGTAAATTTCGATGCAATAATGTATAATCGAGTTTATTAAAATCCCAAACATGACGTTTGTAGCACTTTTGCTTATCGGAGAAAATATTTATGCGAGCGTGAACAAAAGAGTGGTCACAGCTGCTAGGAGGGCTTAATACATCAGAAAACACAAAATAACCAGGATAATTAGTTATAATAAGGTCTAACAACGTTGCACTTTGTGAAGTCACACGTGTCGGTTTTTTAATGACCTGAAACAAATTATTACGTTCCATCCATCTATATAAATATGCACCGAAATCGCCGCTAGTTGATGCAGAACCCTCATCAAAATGAGCATTAAAATCCCCAAGGAGTACAACAAAGGTATTTTGCGATAAGCTAATTTTATCCAGACAATTTTGTAGGTGATTTATAAACTCAGAATTTAAGTGAACTGAATAATTAGGTGGTCGATGACAAACTCCGCAAACAAAACTAATATTATTTCTAATTTTAAATTCAATAAAAAGCAACTCCAATTCGAAATTTTCAAGAACCGTCCGTCGTTTAAACGCAATATCGGACGACAGATATAGAGCAATTCCCCCGGCCCACCGATTGCCTATCTATACGAATTATAGGTACGTGAGAAACCTTGAATGTTCAAAGAATGACTAGGAATACTGCTATTTAACCAGGTTTCTGTAACCGCAAATATATCCAAATTAAGATCATAAACAATAAAGCATGTTTCGTCAAATTGTTCCTCATTATTTAAACTCCTAGCATTAATATGTCCTACATTTAAAGTTAGATTTTGAGGAGGACCAGGATTTGTCTCAATATTTCCAGACAAAAATATTAATATCAACACTATTAAATAACATATGATAGTCAAATATTTACCAAGCATCACTAATTGCGGATTAAGTAAATTAGTCTTAGCTGTACGAAGCACACGTAAATTAAAAATCCCGATAGCTGCTCTATAAACTTCGAGACTAACCACCATTATAAAATTTGATAATCAGTAAACGGTACTCAAGCTGCACAAATAAACCCACCACAAACTGCAGAATACTAGCATATAAAACAGACAAGAATAAAATATTAATTGAAACAAAAGAATGAATATAAAACATGGTTATAACAAATATGCCAAAAAGGGTGTGGGCATAAATATTTTACTTCGCATGTTCTATATCTTCAATTTTATGTAGTCGTATGATTTTGTTGTTTGCTAATTTAGCCAATACCTTCCCATCTGATGTCCATGTTGATAAATGTTGTAAAGTTTTCCGGGCCGTATCAAAAATAATTTTATTAAAGAGAGTAAGGTCTTCATTTATGAAAACTTACGACCCTTCAAATTACGACGATTTTGTAGTACTTCATGTAGTACTAAATTTTACAATAATTGGCCTAGGCAGTTGAGAATCTTGTTTCAATTTGCCAACGCGATGTGTCCGATCAATCTCATTAAGAGCGACATCACACTTTAATTCTTCGTTGCAGAAGGCTATGACTAGATCATAACAATTTTCACGAGCTTTCTCTGGAATGCCGTGTATTCTCAAGTTGCAACGCCTTGAGTAGCCTACTTTTCGTTCTTGTTGGCATGTAGTTTCGCTTCAGCCAAACGGCTTTATAAACAGCAACTCGATCATTTAAGGGATTGACGGCTTTGTCAATCTCTTTCTTTACGAAGACTTCGAGTGTACTAGATATTTCAGACACAATTGATTTTGTAGTCGAAACCATCATATCTGTTGATCCAAAAAAGCGATTTATTTCTTTACTTATCGCATCATTAGCCACGTTAGCAAATTCATCAGAATTGAAACGGCTTTCTAATTCCTTTCGAATTTCAGACCGACTTCTTGTGTCCTTAGCCATATTTGATTTGTGATTAGATCAATACAAAAGACACTCCTCGCATTACTGAAAGAGGAATATCTCAATAATATTTACCAAAGAAGCCCGACACTCCTAAACAAACTCAAGAACTCATACAAAACCAAAGCTTGATAATATAAAGTAAAACCACAGCTTGATAATATAAAGTACAGATTAAGTTCACATATGCAAGAGCGGCAACAAACACGTCCGCCGTTGTCTGGAGAAGTCAGTTGGAGAAGTAAAAGAAGTAGCCGTTTTACGTGTTAATTTGTTGTTTTATCAACAACAAAAAAGAAATGTCGAGCTTTCCTTGTATAATTTTCCATATGATAAAATTGTGGAATCAAAAGAACTCCGTAGGAAGTGAATACATACAATTGCTTGCAAATATTGCTCTTCAGCAACAGGCCAGTCGCCAGAGAGTGTGTTCTTTGAATTTCTAGGACGTAAACCAGCTGCTATATTCGCATGTTCCAAAGCCTACAACAACGAATGATCGACTGACTATAAAACCACAGAACTATTTTATATACAGTATAACAGAACATAGTTCGCGATTTTTTTGTTGGTACCAGGAATACAACATGCACGTAAAACCGCCACTTCCTTTACTCGTTCTGGACAATGAAAGCGGACTGTTGCCGTTACTTTCAGGGCTGTCAAACTTCTGAAGATCCGTGCAAGAGTTCTAAAAAGCTAAAAAAAACTTGGATCTTCATTTACTTGAACAGCATCCAAAGATGAGAAAGAACAGCAGCACACCAGTGAGCCCCATATACAGCTAGCTAGTCAAAAAAATGTTTTCCTTCAAAAATCTCAAACCTTAAATGCACCACACGAACCTAACCACACGAAGTGTGATAGGTAACTTATTTTTAGGGCTTTTGATTGGGCAAACAATCCTAGCACACTGCTAGTTGTACGTCTTATAAGTGCTTATTATTTGTCTTGTCATAGTTTACAATGCTACTCAGCTTTGCCTTTCGGTCGTTAGGGTATAATCTTGCATGCTTTGTCTTCACATTTAATAAAACATATTTTGCATACGTACAGTATATAGGTCTGCAGAACAGTGATTTGACCACTGATAACTTCATGTCCCTTTTCAGAACGAAATTAGTGTCGAAACAATCTCAGAAGTTAAAAACCATCTGTTAACGTCATTAGAAGAGTTGAACACAAGAAAGAAGGAGAAAAAATTGATCGCTGACTTGTGGTGTCATTTTGGAAAAGCTCTTGTTTCTAGCGTTGATGAAGGTAATAACGTAGTATAGAAACATATTTAAGATGTAATGTAACATTGTGTAAAAACAGATTGGTTAAATAACCAATTTTAATTGCTTATCTCAGCTGCGAATATATTTGACCAATATTTTATTGGTTAAAACAATCAGGAAGTGGGTCATTTTAACCAAATTTTCGGTTGTTTTCACTAAATGGTATTGGTCAAAAGAAAATACATCTTAGACATCTTAGACAACCAATTCAAATTGGTTATTTTTAACCAGTCTACTTTTAGAGCGTGTTAATTAGTCTGAAAATAAATAATTAAGATTAAATCGAAACATTACTCTTCAAAAATTTTTTTAATCAAAATACGAGGCTCTATTTTCTATTACATTAAGCTAATAGTGAGATCTTTTGACGCCCAGAAACACTAACAATTTCAACATCTCAAAACTACAAGATTAGATGCATAAAACAACAACTAAATTGGGGCAGGAAAAGCTCGCTGAAATAGCTTTAGAGTAAAATATTCTGCTGAGCGGTCATGAATAGGCAAACTCCCCTAATAAGGGTCTGTGAGACGCTACGAAGAGAATATTAACGAGCTTCAGCAACCGACGTCTTTATCAACATGCTTGTCAGATTGCCTAGCGGGGACTGGATGAAAAACTTTGTTTGTATCAGTTTGTGGTAATGTTGAACACATATGACAAAACATAGAGGTTTTACACAGGAGCCTGGGGTGAAAAAAAACGCCAACATTGCTTATACCAATGACAAAAACGTCGCTTGCGTAATCTCATTATTTGGCTTGAAAGTGCTCACCGCCGTTGATATAAAGTTCATTCTCTCCGCAGTCAACGCGGCGATTTCGCTTATTTCTTTCATTCATATCATTAACACAAACCTGGTCGTAAACAAGAAAGTTTGGAATCCCATCGGTGAATTATGCTTCTTTGCAGAATCGTCGCCATGTGCCCACCATTTCATAAAAAATGCAAAAATTCCCAACTATAGCAGCACGGCATTGCGGCAATGGGACCCAAAGTCTACTAAAGGACAAATCGCGTGAAGTCTGCTTGTCTGAACTTACGTTTACAAACATCCATTATAGATGAACTGTCGTGAAGTTGTACGTTACTAAAACACTGACTTTTCTTTATTTGGAACTTCACTGGCTTTTAATTCGAACTCACAGTCACTACTTCGCAGTTATTACCTTCTTGATATTTTTTCCAGAAATCTTTATGATCCATATTCTTATTATAAAAATATTTTTTTAATATAGAGGAAACTGGGAAGACTTTCACGCCAGTCGATTTCGATCGACGACTAATGAAGATAGTCAGCAACAATATGGACGAGCATGCAGCCTACTGGAAAATTTCGTTTGAAGAGGGCGTTGATCCATCAGTTGAAGACGCACTTCCAGAATCGGAAGATGACCTCCACAGATTTCCTCGTCTTAAGCTAGTTCATACACAGTGGCGTTACGATTTTGGCTTTGGAACTCCATCATGTATGTCTAATTATATTGTATATTTCAAGTGCACTTTTTGTTAACATATCTTTGTTTTATGGCAAAGTTAGTTTTTCTCATTTGTGAAATCAATTATGGTACTCTATACTAACGTGTCCCAGAATACTTTGATTGCATGAAACGATTAATGAGCTGTTCCCTTTCTTGGATTACTTTTTAAAAATTAACGGTGGTTTTAGGATGGCCAAGTAATAACTAGCAAATAACAAAAAAATGTTAATCACATAACTTATGGTGACTCAACACAGTTTTTAAAAAAATGG